TGTGTGTGTCTGAGTGGTGTAGCAGGTCACTAACCATTTCCCCTTGGATTATGGGGCTTCATTCTGCTCCCCATCCCTGTCTTCCAGCTCAGGGGGCTGGGTACCTGGAGAACAACTGGTCTTACTATTGAAGACAGAGGCAAAGAAGGCATCAAGTACCTCAGCCTTTTCCTCATCCTTTGTCACTGTTTCCCCCTGCATCCAGTAAAGGATGGAGATTCTCCTTAGCCCTCCGTTTGTTGCTAATTTATTTATAGAAATATTTTTTATTGTCTTTTGTGGCAGTAGGCTGATTAAGTTCTGGTTGGTCTTTGGCCCTTCTACTTTTCTCCCTGCATAACCTCACGACATCCTTGTAGTCTTCCTGAGTTGCCTGCCCCTTCTTCCAAGGGTCATAAACCCTCCTTTTTTTCCTGAGTTCCAGCCAAAGCTCTCTGTTCAGCCAGTCAGAATTTTTTTTTTGTTCCACCTACTTTTACTTCAAGAAATCCTTAGAACTCAACTGAACTCTTAAAAAAACCCCAAAACACACATGCAAGACCGCATCTTTTAAATTAACACATTGAAAAAGGATGTTGCAAGGCTGCTGCCCCATTTTCTTTTTCAGCATCCCTCTTCTAGGCAGAATGTGTTCACAGTGGATCCAAGAATCAAAAACTCTATCGTTTTGTGATCACTATGCCAAGACAGCCTCTGACCGTCACATCACCCACAAGTCCTCCTCTGTTCACAAACAACCACCTTCTATTGTCTTATGGACCACCAATGGCTGCACTCAGCAGAACAAGTAGCTCTGCTCTAAGTGATGATGTCACAGAGCATGGCTTTGCTCTGTGTCCTGCCCATCCTTCCTATAAAGCCTTGCTGGGATGCTAAGTTTGTTGCTCTTCACATGTCCAGATAGGGCTTTTGCCAGAGGGAGGAGGTTTTCTTCCAGGCAACTGCTCAGGAATAAAAAAATGGGAGAAGGGGAGAAATGAATGTGTTATCAAATTACAAATGTTAGTGGTAACCTCATAAGAATGTAAGAAATACCCTGCTGGGTCAGATCAGGGGTCGATCCAACCTAGTGTTCTGTCTTGGGCAGTAGGAATAAGTGATACTATTTAGGAAGAGCATGAAAGCCCAGCCACTTTTTAGTGTTTTCTACTCCAACATCCATATTTGTTAAATTAGGCATGCTAGCAGGTACATCCCCATTGTCTATGAACTTTTCTATTGTCTTTTTGAAGCTGATGATACTGTCTGCTTCCATAGCCTCCTGTGACAGCAAGTTCCAGCAGTTCACTACCCATGAGTAGTAAAAATGAAGAAGTACTTTAGTATGTTTTGAGTCAATCTCTTACTAGCTTCATCAAGTACCCCTAGTTCTAATAATGTGTGATATGGTATATGACTGGTCTATATTCACCTTATACCCTACCATGATTTTTAAACCTGAGTCATGTCTTACATCATTTGGCAATGGCACACATTTTTGGGTTCTCTTCTTTGCTCCGTTGCTTCTGACTAGCTCAAAATCTTTTATTTAGAAGCAGTTGTTTTAAGGAAAATCTAGGTTCCTCAAGAAGCAGCCTCTGGTTTCTCATTCATGGGTTGTGGCTAAAGCCAGTTTGAACATATGCAGGCATAAATTATGTTTCTGTTGAATGTTTCTACAGCTTCAATGTAGAGCATAAATGCAAACCCCAAACCAGCTTCTAGAAAGTTTTGTACCCTGATATTTTTGCAGTGAAGTACAGCTGCTTAAGCATTTGATTTTTCCAGGGGAAGTCCATGTTTCCGTCATCTCTTACTGAATCCTGTGGGACAAAAATAATCTCTCCCCCACCCACTATTTAGCTAAGTGTAGTTTCAGTTCTCTTCAGTTAAGCGACATGTGCCTATTCCATGCTTGTGCTGCTTTTTATGTAGCAGCAAAAAGCTCTGTTAAGAACTCCTGTTTATTTTGTTCAAAATAAAATACTGCATTAGATTAAATCAGAATCAATAGATTTAAAAGTTTTTGTTATATATATATATGGTATGCTATGGAAGTAAACAGAAAAATCTCTTTTTAGATTAAGTACAATTTCAATCCCTGATCCTGGCAGTGTATCCACATAGTGCCACTGTCTTTCGGGGAGTCTGTATAGGAATGTACCAATAAAGACATAATTGCAAGTTTGAGAGAGTTGCTGTTGCTTTTTTTTAATATAACATTGGCTGCTAGGTATCTTAGCTTGCTTTTTGTTTGTTACACTGTAGTTGCACTAATTGATTCCTATCAGGATTTTTAACATGGTTATATTTGCATGAGTTTCTCTTAGTGTATATATAGACACAAAAATTCATGTTCAAACTCATTGGTTTCCCTGAGGATTATTGTCAGTATTTTTGCTTAAATGTTTCATATGGCATTGTACTTGTGCCCTGTATCTTTCAGACAAGTGAGAAGTAAAATACTATGGCTGCCTTGACACAGTCAAGTTAAATCCAAAAATAAGACTGGGGGCACAAGAATAAATCCAGGATTATAGTGGCTGGGAACTGCAGAGCAGTTTCTTTATAGAAGCTTAACAGAGGCACACCAGGTATGCATTTCTTGCTGTTTACTTTGGAACCGTTCTGAAGAACTCTTTTCCTTTGGTCTGGTGCTTGATAACCTTCAGAAAAGAAACGTTGCTGGGTTGTGCAAAAGAGGAAAAGGTCATTGATACGTCAAAAGCTCTGCAAAGCATGATAGTAGTAGCTTGAAGGTGGTAAATAAAACAGAAAGAGAGAGCAGCATGTGAGTCACCCAACTGCAAGATGCACTTGTTCTTTCAAGTTTTTCATCCTGTCCAGTATGCCACCAAATACGAGCTTTGGTTAACTGTCAAGAGAAGCAAACTCCAGAGCAAAAGACTTTCTGTCAGCTTCGTTCTGTGTATGAGATGCAATTAGTTAAGACTCATTTGATTACTTTTTCTGCCATACTAATGGAAGAGGCTGTCTCTTAAACATATGGGACCCAAACCCAGGTCACAACTCCCATGTTGGGCATGTCACCATGGGATTTATTTTTTCTTTCTCGTTGTTGCTGGATAATACAGAAGTGTATATCACTGTCTGCCTTAACAAAGGCATCTGAAAGGGTTATTTGGTTCTCAGCATGCTAAAGAAGAGATAGTTCCCTCTTCCCACTCTGTGTTTTTGAAGGGCACAGCCAACAATGAAGTTTTTTGTTCTTAGGACTGACGCGTTGTGAAGGGTCACACTCCAATGATTAGTTTCAAATATATATAGTATGTGCTCTGTACTTTCATGTGCTTCCATGCATTGGGAGAAGTTGGGAAAGGTGAATGGACCTGGATTAGATGTCTGTGCTTGTGTTGTGGCTATCCGGCGTAAACCAAGTGTGAGGCCCCTGCTCCTGGGTGTGTGTGCTTGCAAGTGTGCATGGAAAGGAAACTATGTGTATAAAGAGGAAATACGAAATGATTCTTATTATTGTCAAATGATTAATCAGGTTGCTTGCACTTGTGGTAGTTAACATTTTGTAGCACGTGCATCTCCATTCTGTATGCTGTGTATGCTGCATATGTGCATATACAACTATTTCAAGAATTTTAAGTGTGTTTTTAAATTTGTAGTAGCATTCTGTCCTTCTGCTTCTACAGCTAGATATATGCTAATGAAAGGCCTGGTTTATGCAGTTTACTGTTAGAGGTGTGATAGGGTGTTTTGTTTTGCTCTGGTGACTTAAAGTTGCTTTCCTAGATCCCCCAATGCCACAGTGCTTGTCATTTTCTCAGGGTTCTTTTATACAGTGGGAAGTGAAGGCTTGTACCTTCACAAGAGGAAACTGCACCTTTCCTGCAAAGTCTGTGTAGGCTCCCTCCTTGCAATCGTGTTCTTGCCATTTCAGGCCTTGGGAACAAGTAAGTTGATTGAGATGGCAATCTGTACATTTGTCACATGCCTCTAATTTATTGCATATTTCCTGAATATCACCTCTATGTACATTCCTTTCCTTGGTATATAACACATGTGAAACTGAACTGAGTACTGAATATGCCGTGTTCAAAAGAGTTTATTCCAGTGTTTCAGGATGGCCCTTCTGAATAAAAGCAGCCTTTTGCAGGCTAAGCTGGGTGTAGCAGACTAGCTGCAGAATATGTGTACTGTTAATTTTATTTGAAGCTGCTTTGGGGTGGGTTGGTTTGTTTGGTTTTTTTTTTTAAAAGATGATTGCCAAAGACTCCATAGTGTTAGGAAATGAAAAAGTACCTTATGATTGCATGGATTTGTTATTTTGTTGCACTGTAGGAGTCTATTTTAGGGGGGAAAAAACCCCAGCCTCTCGCTGAAATGACATTTCAACCCTCCTGGCATCAATGGGAGTACTGCCTCTGACTTTACTAATGCCCGCATTTACCTAAAATAAGTACAATAAGGTAGGAAAAGCTCTGAAGAACCATGATGACCTTAGGAAGGACTGCATATTGATGCTTGCAGAAGCTGTGGGCAGCTACAAAATCTGAAGGCTGTTTGTCAGGTGTGGTAAAGAAAGCTTTTTTTCTAAAAAAAAAAAGCTTCCTTGCACTGCCTGATGAAATAAAATTTTGCAGAGCAAGAACAGTTGCCAGCGTTTTTGTAAGCAAAGATACCTGAAGTAAAACCTCTGCAATCAAATGGCTTAATCATCATTCAGTTTGATTCCTGAAAGCACGTGATCTAATCTGACGCTTAACCTTTTTCAACTTGTAGCTTCTAATCACTTTCTGGTAGATGAGTGGAGTTTTGTTCAACAGGTTTAAGTGTGGTGGCAGTAGACTTTTTTTTCCCCCCAATAATTTTCTTTCACAGTTTCCGAAGATTTGTGACTACTGATTGAAAACTATAGTGTTAGTAGATTTGGCTTATTGGATGCTAGCTGAACCACAGGTTTAGTGGCTACATCTGGCCACTTACTTATTAAGCAGTAATAATATCTATTTTATTCTGACTGACACTGACCTTTTTGATATTTTCCTTAGACAATCTGCTTCGTCTTGATTCATCATCATTCCAGGATAGTGGTGTCCTTGGGGCTCTCTCTTAACATTGATATGGTACAGAAGATTTAAAATCAGGTATAGTTTTGGGTCGCTCTTTCCTGCCAAAATGAAACACACAATCTAGAACTGAATGCATTTTTTTTTTTTCCTTATGTGATTTGTCTTAATATTTTTGTTCTTTCAGCTGATGTTCACAAGGAATAGAGTCACGTGATGTATGAAGGCAAACACATACACTTCTCTGAGGTTGACAATAAGCCCTTGTGCTCATATAGCCCCAAACTGTGCAAGCAGAGGCGACTTAACGGGTACGCCTTCTGTATCAGACACGTTCTGGAGGACAAGACTGCCCCCTTCAAGCAATGTGAATATGTGGCCAAGTATAACAGCCAACGCTGCACCAACCCCATCCCCAAATCTGAGGACCGTAGGTGAGTTGTGGTTACCCATCTGCAAAGCGGGAAGTGGCTGTTACATAGGCATGAGTTTTCTTTTAAGATGCTGCCTGGTTTCAGGATGAGGGAGGAACTGGTCTGAGTGGATTGAATTCCAGGATGTTCCTTTGAGGGTTTTGTTTTAAGACCAGTAAACTTTATTTTATTTTCTGTGGGAGTCAAGTATTCAGAAAGTGGGCAGTAACTTAATCCCAAGGAGGTTTTTGGGAGAGTTCATTGCTTTTCTCAGATTCACTATAAACTATGGATCAAACCTGCTACACAATATCTGCTGTTCTAATTAATTTGCTTTGTCACTCACAGTATATGCTCTTAAAAAGGCCTGCTTGTTTGGCCAGCTGTGCCAAAAGCACACTTCCATCTACTTTTTCAGGACAAACAGTTGAAAATGCATACCTTCTGGGCTTAGGGAGCAGTGACACATAGGGACGAATTCAGAATTACAATTCAGTGTTTGTGATTTGGTACTGATCTGTAGTGTTGTATTACTGGAATAAAATAAATATTACTTGATAACAGATGAGCCAGCTGGGAAAGTGCTGTCTACTCCCTTTCTTCTCTGTTTCCCCAGTTCCTCTCCCCCTCCCTGCCCAAATGAAGATGCCCAAGGTGCCCAGGTATTAAATGCCTTGCAGAAGATAGTGCTTGAAGTTGTTGGAGAGCTGGGAATTCAAACCAGATTTCCTGAATTGCAGCCCTTACTGTAACCACAAGGACAAGGACATTCTTCCTTGCTCTTTAACGAAGAGCAAGGACTTCCTGAACACCAGTGTCATTGGTGTTGCTTGGGCTGAAATAGCAGAATTTGTCTAATCTTGGCTGCCAGGTGTACATGACTTCAGTTTTTCAGAGTCGTTGTTGCAGGTTTTGCCAGTAACACAGTATTTAATTAATGTATGTGTTAACTATCTGAGGCTTATTCTGTTAGAAATGATTTTTTAAACCTAAAATATAAACAAAATATGCCAAAAAAGAATCAAACGACTATTCACTGACCTTTCACATTATTAAGTGCCATTCACTAACCTTTTGCTTTATTAGCAGTGTTCCCACTGTGCCCTACATATAACTTCCTTCTCAGCTCACAGCTCCCTCTCTTGTCTGAACAACAGTTGGACTGTGCTCTAAATTAACTTGCACTTCACCTGCCATTTCAGCTGAGGAGACTGATGAAGTGAGAAAAAAACATGAATGTTTGTCAAAAGCTGTAGGGCAAATGCTCAAATGGCACAAGATGAATAACTTTAAGCTGTAATTTGACAGTCGTTGACTGTTTCTTTGCTACTGCACAATTGAGGCTCTTTGGAAATAAGCTCGCAGAAATGATCATGGAATTTTTTTAGCGCAAATGGTATGCTGTAATTTCAGATGCAAGAGTTGATTGAGCCAGAGTTGCTGTTTACCAGGAGTCATACTTAAAAACAATAGAAATAGTAGTACTTAATGACACTTTTTTAGGTCTCTCATGTTCCCGTGGAATTTGAGATTTTTCTTTACACCTTGAATTGAGTTCACACTTTGTTCTTTTTGATTTTTCTCAAGTTAAAATGAAGTGTGGTCATGACATCTGGTGTATGTTATATTAGAATAATTCAATTGCATGTCGAGTGTCACATTACAGTACTTGAAGAGGACAGCAGGTGTCTGAAGGAGAAAATAAACTTTTAATTTCAAATGAGAGGATGTGATAGTTTGAAAGAATATTTTAAAAGACTGCTTCTCAGGGCAGAGTTTAATTTTAACAATAAAATTTAATGAATGCTAGTGGTAAGACTGTGCCTGCTCTAAAATTTTTTTTTTGGCAGGCAAACCTTTATCTGTTTCTTAGGAGACTTTTTTCACACTCCGTTTGATATAAAGATGTTTGCTATGTCTGAGTTCTTCACTTGTAGCTTTTAATTTTCTGTGTACAAAATTACTGTCAGATGGTCATTTTGTCACAGTTTTAGACATGTAATTGTACATGATCAGAAGCAGGATAGCAGGATAGCTGTGACAGCTATCTTCTTATATACTTTTAAGGATTATAAAAAATAAAATGTCTTAATAGGACGCATGCTTTCTATGCCAAAAGCTTCATACTCTGTCCACAGATAATTAAAAAAAATTATGACTTGACCCCAGACAAATGAGATGCTACCAGCCACAAAGATGTTTAATATGCTGCTATATTATTAGATTTCTTATTAACAATTAACATTCTACAAATTAAATCTATTAATAGTGCATGACTTCATTGGCTTATTTGAAGTCTAGTTTCTCTATTCACTATCTTGTTTTTTTAAAGAATATATACGGGATGATACAGACATGGGTTCTGTATCTGTATTTCCTCTGAATACATGTCTCTTAATTCTTTCTTATCCCATGTCTCTTAATTCTTTCTTATCCCAATACACACATAGAAAATGAAGTTCAACTTAATTTTTAAGTATAGGGTTATTACAATTTAGCTGGGTTAAACACCATTTTATCTCTAATTCTCCTTTTTCAAGAGAATCTTTAAATATTTTGTTAATATGCAAGATGCTTTCCAGTTTGTTTGGATCTTCCTTTAAATAAGCGACAGAACTTGATACCAGTCTGGGATGTACTGGGAAGCAGAATGCAGTTGTAGGTGGAAAACCTCGCTGTGTGGATTCTTGCCCTCCCAGTGATGTGGGAAACTGTCCAGCTGAAGCCTCAGAGCCCATCACCTTTTGTGTGCTTCATGTTACAATAGTTTTAATGGATATCAACCCACTGCACTTACCATATGTGCTGACTGCATTTGGTCTCACCTGCACAGAATAAGTGCCTTTGGCACTGAGTAAGGAAGGGGGAAAAAATATATTAGATACTCAATGTGATACTGTCAGCTGAGAATAACTCACAGGCAGGTTATAGAAGTGACAAATTGTGCCACTAAGACAGGCACATCAGAATTGGCTCTTGTAGGGCCAGCTTGACCCTAACGGGTTTCATGCTCAGAGCCATGTGAAAAGAACTGTGCTACTTGCAGGTGCTATTCCAGTCTTCCCAGTAATCTGTCTTCCATGGAGCATGAACTACTAACGCCTTCCCTGGCATTACATCTGATCCAGAGAGTTTATTGCCTTAACTCAGCTGGTTATAGACTGGTTCCAGCAGAGTCAGTTAATGTCTGCACCAGGCTCTGCAGCACCGTGTAAAGTCAGAATCAGTTTGGGCCAGGGCCAACTAAAAAGCGGTCCTGAAACCTGAAGAACAGGGAAGTGGGGGTGCATGCCTGCCTGCCTCCGTATGGGACCAGCTAGAGCCTGGCAAGGCCAAGGTTAAATTGGTGCTAATAAATTATGCCTAGCCAAAACTGCCTGCGTCTAGTCTTCTCTAACCTGAGAAGACTTAAGTGCTCTTCCCAGCTTCTTCTTGCTCCTTTTAGTCCAGCGGGCAAGGTGTATCAGCTGCGGTTATGCTGGAAGACAGAGAGTTGATAGAGCCTAAAGCACAGAGCCAAGTCAATGTGTACTGGAGTCTGCAAGTGCATGTAATCTATATTTTCATTATGTTGTAGCCTGATATCTATGGGTTTGTGTCTAGAGGTGATGCCTGTGTGAGATATTGTTGGCTTTCAGTGATGCAGCATGGTCATTTGTAAGAGCCAAAGCTTTATTCTCTGCCATATAAAAATGATGCTGTTAAACAAACAAGCAAAACCCTTAATAGCCTAAAACTCAGAGAACGTTAGCAACCTAATTACCTTTTCATAGGTTTATTCACATTTTCTATTTTTTGCTTTCTCTTTGGTTTTCACAATGAAAACAGACTAGCCAGTTTTACCTCCTTACTCCTGCACAAGCACAAGGTGGCAATATTTAAGTTCTGAACAATATAAAGGAAGCATTCATATGGAGAAAAACTCTCTTTTCATTGGAATAAGAGGGGAAAAATTCCATTGTGTTTGTCTTGTCTGTTTATTTTTTTTCTTCTGTCATACTAAAAGTGCTGTTCTGACTGATCTCATCAGTCTTGTTCAAACAAAATATTTTGAAAGTACTTAATTTTAATTACGGGAATAGTGCTGTTGACTTTAAGGGAAGCTTTATTGAGCCCTCATTACATAATTTTATTTTTAGAAGTGCATCTCTCAGTATTAATTTACAGTATTCCAGTGTATTCTAATAACGACTCCACACGTTGCTGGCTTTCAGCTTGCCTCATTTAGATTTATTTATTACTTACAATTTAATGTAATAAAGAAATTATTTAGACAATAGTAAGTAGCAGTACTTCTCAGCCTTTTCTGAGTTGTGAATCCTTATGGGTGTGGATCCCTTGAGAAACTACATGTATGGAGATCATTAAGGAGCGTACATGAATTTGCTTTTTCTTTTTTACCTTTTATGGACCCTTTAGAAGCAGTTCACACATTGATTATTTAGGGGTGGAACAGCAAGTTGAAAGTCACCAAGGTGAAGTGTTAAACCTTTTTGGGGGTTTGGTTTGAGCTTTTCTGTTATTTTTTTCTCCATGAAGACCAGGGATGATTTCATTTTAACCTATTTGTTCAACAAAACTTACTTTTCTCAGATTCATACTGATCGGATTTTATACCTTCATGGTATATTTCCTTATCTTGTCCTTATTCATATCCATGAATACTTTAATGGATATGTCCTTAGCTTGTTCATTAATACCTTGATGTAGACATCACTTTTTCCTCATATCTTTGTTTTCATGTATAAGCTGCAGGTTATAGACGGGATCCTGCAAGGGCAGAAGTCTGATTGCTGGTGGCATTCTACAGAGGCAGGAGGGCCTGCCTGTGTGAAACAGGAAAAGGATCAGATCATGGTTCCTACATTTCTGTCACCTTCTTGTTTTAATCAGAGAAAAATTACTTGTTTACTTCTTAATATGTTATCTGTGGCCATAAATTGTAACTTTTCTTTTAATTTTCATGACAAACTTTCAGAGACTTTTTTCCTTTTTTTCTTCTTTTTTTTTAAATAACATGACTGTAAAAGCTTTTTTATACTAGAAAAGCTTAAAGTCCATGTTTGTGGATTGTATGTATACATATTCCTGGCATTGTGTAAACATTTTCTAGCAGCAGAGAATTTCTTTTAAACTAGACTTTTGTTTGAAGAACATGCAGCTATTCCTCTGGCTACAAAATTCATCATGTTAAACTACTAAAACAGAACTTAAATATTTATGCTACTTGTTCATTAAGTGCAAATAGTGACCCTTCTCAGCAGGTGTCTCTAGTGAGATTGTCCATATAAAAAACTGCTCCCTACTACAGTGAAATTCATAACAATAATGTGCGTGTTGATGAAAATGTTAACTGCTTCCAGTGAAAGAACAGCTGAATGAAAGGAAGTCATTTTCAGTGTATGTTTTTTTGGGAGCTTTTGAAATGATCAGAGTTAATGGCTTGAGTTCTTACTGTTTTATGTATCAGACAGTCCATTTGTTTTGTTCTGTTTGTTTTGTGAGTATTTACCCTATTAGAGAGTAAATATTTTGAATGGTTGTGTGTGAATCTCCTATGAATAATGACTGAAGACTTTTATATCTTAAGATTACAAATTGTCACTTGTATAACGTTTTGTTTTTTGCTACGGGTCGGGAACACCACAGTTATCTGTTGTATTAGAAGCAGTTGTGTACACTTCTTATAAAACCTCATGTTTTGATCTAAATTTGCATGAGATGGGTGTGTGTGGATTTCCCTTTAGCGATGTCTGTTTTCTTCGGATTTTACTTACAAGAGTTGAGTTAATAACTGACTGCTTTTACTTTTCAAAGGTACTGCAACAGCCACCTGCAGGTACTTGGCTTTATACCGAAAAAGGAGAGGAAGAAAAAGAATGATCCCATAGAGGAGGTAAAGGTCAGGCATCAGATGGATGCTATGGCCTTCAGTCTGACAGTGCCCACCCTGGCCTTGAAGATGCCCAATGGACTGGATGGGATGTCCCTCTCCCCTCCAGGGGCTAGGCTTCCTCTCCATTACCTGGAGGCAGAATTAGAAGACCCCTTTGCTTTCAACGAGGAAGATGATGACCTAAAGAAAGGGGCAACAGTGAGGAAAAAGTTGCAGAGCAAGTTGGCTCAAAACCGGCAGCGCCAGAGAGAGACAGAGATTTTAAAAGTTCGCCAAGAGCACTTTAGCCCCCTTCCTGCACCTTTGCAGCAGCAGCCTCTGCAGCAGCAGCACTCCCATCTGCCACCTTCATCAGCTTCGTTAAAGCCGACAGGGCTACCGCAGGGCGTAGTCTGCAAGTCACCTCAACCTCCGAACACCAGCCTACCAATGCAGGGAGTGGCACCCACCACACACACTATAGCACAAGCCCGGCAGTTGTCTAACAAGAGACCTCTGCCTCTCCTGCCACCCGCTAGGGCTCCTGTCACGGACCCTCCAAGGACTGATCGGGTCCTCATGAAAGCCACAGCCTTTTCTCCACACTCGTCCTGCATGAGCCGGCTACAGAGACTGGTGAAACTGTGCACTCGAAAACAGCAGCTGGACACTGACCTGTTTCCACATTTAGGTGGGTAGATAATAGATGCACTGCCTGCTTACTTTTTAACCTGAAACCAAAAAACAAAAGGGGAATGTCTTCCTAGCCTTGTCCTGCATTCATGTGTGGTCCGTACAAAATAACCCTGAACTAGGTAATCTCTTGGTGTTTTCTTTAGCCCTGTTCTCTACGAAGGGAATGCCTGTACCCATCGCGTATGGTTTATGGCATTTTGGTTATTTATTTTTCTTAATGTCCTATTAACCATTTGAGAAATCAAACTGAGGTGTAGAAAGCATTGCTTGGATGATACAGACATCGTACAGAAGGTTTGCAACTTGAGCAGTAAAGGTGGCACAGCTGTACCTATATGAGTGGACAAGGTTAGATGGAATGTAAATATGTGACAAGGGCACATTATAAAATCAGTGCAAGTAGAAGTTTGGAGATTTGGCCCATCATTCTGTGCAGATCCAAATTTCCAGTTGACTTGACTGGGAAAATTGGAACATAAGAGTATTTTTCTTGACTGGGCCTATTCTGGGCTCGTACAGAATGTGGATGAACAAAAGTAAAAGATTACTGCAGGAGGGCAGCACCGTTACAGAAGGTAGTCGGAGAGGTGGAGTCTTGTCCACATACCAGTGCAGGAATAGTCTCCTCCTTATTTATTATCTAGAAACCGTAATAATCAATTGCTGCTTATGAAAATGTAAGTAAATATAACAAACTTGCTGCTATGGCAGTAGTGCTCTCTAAAGCTTTAAAAAGGCAGCTTTGTGGCTTATTTGTCTGATTATGAATACAGACCTAGGTACATCTAGCTGTCCTTGTTATCTCCCTTACCCTCCAAAGTCACCTTACTTTTCTGCTTAGTTTTAGATTGTACTTTTCTAACAAGTAAAATACTGACAGGGAAAAGGGAAACAGGAGTCAGGGTGTGATATTAGAACAGGAAGGCCAGGTATGCTATGCTGCTTAAAAAAAAAAAAAAAAAGACTTCAAATAAATCTGGACGTTCTTCATATAACATCTTATTTAATTGCAAACATCTGTAATTTTTGCTATTTCAATTAACCTTTTTTTAATTTGCTGTTAAGATCTGCCCTTTGGCACTCATGGGATAGCTTGACTATTTGTTCAGAAGATAATTAGTATCCCATAGCATGTCTCCAAAGGACATTGTTCTTCAGAAAACCGCTTTGATGGTCCTACATATAATGCATGTCTTTTGAGGAATGGCAGCTCCAGAGGCATTTTTGAGTGTCACAGACCCCAATAGCTTAGAAAGTGACCTGCATTTTGAACAACTGTAGAAAGATCACTTTCTGTGTTTAATGTTTTACATTCTCAAGTGCTGTCGTGGTTTAATCTCAGCTGGCAACTGAGCACCACACAGCCGCTCACTCACTCTGCCCCCCCCCTCCCCGGTGGGATGGGGGAGAGAATCCAAAGAGTAAAAGTGAGAAAACTCATGGGTTGAGATAAGAACAGTTTAGCAATTGAAATAAAATAAAATAGTAATAATAATAACAATAATAATAAAAGACTTTATAAAGCAAATGATGCACGATGCAATTGCTCACCACCAACCGATGCCCAGCCAGTCCCCGAGCAGCGGCCCCCCCGGCCAGCTTCCCCCAGTTTATGTACTGAGCATGGCGTCACATGGTATGGAATGTCCCTTTGGCCGGTTTGGGTCAGCTGTCATGGCTGTGCCCCCTCCCAGCTTCTTGTGCACCTCCAGCCTTCTCAGTCGGTAGAGCATGGGAAGCTGACAAGTCCTTGACTAGTGTAAGCACTACTTAGCAACGACTAAAACATTGGTGTGTTATCAAGGTTATTCTCATACTAAATCCAAAACACAGCACTGTGCCAGCTACTAGGAAGAAAGTTAACTCTATCCCAGCCGAAACCAGGACAAGTAGTGAAGAGAATACATTTTCCTAAAAAAGAGGCGTTGTAAAAAAACCTGATTAGACCTATAAATATACAGTTATGCAGATGCATAACTGTATGTGTATGCAATTAGAACATTTTATATTTGGCAAAGTAACAAAATTCACATATTAATTATGTGAGAGTGGAAAATATATTTGTTATTTATTCATAATATGCCTTAATATTAAAGACTAGTTATGCTGGTTCAGAGAATTTCAGGATTTCTTTTTCATGATAGAGTAGCACTAGAGATAACTGCACAGAACCTTTAAAAAGATGCAGCCAGTTTTATGTGTACCTACATCAGAGCCATGTAATTGGATATTAATGTAACTGCAGTCTTCAGTGTGAGTATAGCTGAATTTGGATTAGATTTTATTCCTTCATTTCTGCAGTGCCCATTAGAAGCAAAACAGTGCAACCTCTGATTTTATTTTTAAACTTTGGGTAAATAATTTGTTACATGGTATCAATTGTGGACATCTTTATCCAATCATTAAGTTGTTTTTTCATTCCTTTATGGAAGGGGTGAGAGTGAAAAAACATTTAAGTTGAAAGTATAATTCTGGCTTTTTATCAAATGTCTTAAGATATCTTAATTTAGTTCGAATGTGTATCTTAAAAATAGGAACAAAGAATAGAATTTTCAGGATGCTGAAGTTCCTGAAAAATAGGGTTTCTGATATTTCTGGTTTATGTTGGAAGTGTTGCTTCTAAATGATGAAGGTGCTCCTGATGATTGTATTCCAAGTGTGTGTGTGTGTGTGTCTCTAACTCTGAAAGTAGGTGACCAAGTACTGATGCATCTGACGTCAGAATAATCTCAGATATAGACGTTTAGTTTATTTTTAGCAAAAATAAAGTGCTGCTTAACTATCCCAACTGCTGCTCCATTTTCAAGGAGTACACAAGAAAGTGAAAGAGTAATAATGCTGGCTTGTAAATGCAGCTACGGGATTTTATCCCACCTGCTGCAAGGAATTGGCAAGAATTCCACTGGATGTAGGAGAGAGAGAAGGAAAAACTGCAAAAGATGAAGCTCCAGATAAAATGTTCCACCTGAGAACTTACTGGACTCTGTTTCTGGCTGTCCTGTTCAATGATTGTGTTTAGCTCGACTAACTGAGGCTGCTGGTGTATACGATAAGTTGATCCTACTGCATCATCATTAAACGAAAGCATGCTGCTTAGTAAAAGTGCAGGAGTATTTGCATCTCTCTCTTTAGCTCTCTTTTCATGCTAATGTATGCATTTGGCAGGCAATTACAGAGACTGAGCAGAGGAACATCCTGTACAGCTGTGTATCTATCTCTGCCCATGCTGCTCTGTCTTATGGTTTTCCTATTCTCCCTGTGTTTTGGCACATAGCAGGGGTCAGAATATAAACAGAAATGAAAGTGGCCTATTTAGGTCATATAGTATTAAAAATTGCCAGGCAGTCAGTTCTTCGTGGCGTGGACTTCTCGCTTACCTTTTCTGTAAAGATTCCATGTGCTTGGTGTGAAAGCTTGTGATATTTTTCTGCAAGAAAGCTGGTGATATTTCTTCCACTGCTTATGGATAAAGAAGCCAACAAGGATTTGAAAAGGAAAACTCAATTTTGACAAAAATCAGTGCATGCTATTTGCACACTGTAGTGGAGCTGTTACTGTAACTTCTCCTGTGTAATTGACAATATTATATGACTTAATCAAACATAATTATGCTTGTGACTATACTACACATTCCTCTTCTGTGCCATAGATTGCTCAGAGACTTATATGAGGTGGATACACTTTTCATCCAGCTTTCACGTTTTCAATTCCTTTAGGGCTGGACTGGTCTGAAGACAGTGGAGAAGAGTTGGAGGATTCAGAGCAAACCTCCCCTTACCAGGTTGCGTGGTCTATCCGAGAAACCCTTGGCTATGAGAGACATGAGTGAGTATGATTCTTTAGTGTTCATGCTGGCCTTGATGGAATAAATCATGTAAATGTGAGCTTCACTTCAAGTGGAGTCAGTGGAACGTAAGCACTTGTTCGAGTGCTTTGCTGAAGCAAAGGATTGTTTAACTCATTTGTTTGTAAGAGCTATGAAACAGCTTGTAGCCTTCTGTCCCAGTTTCCACCTAACTTAGACACCTTTGTGCAATCTGCTATCAGAAGGATGCATCAGGAAAGAACTTAAGCTTATTTGCCTCAATTTAATTGAGTTTAGTGGGATTTATTAATGAACTTGTGTGCCTTGCTGAGTAGAGGTATTTCCTGAATTAGAACCAAATGAAGGGAGTTGCTATTGGTTTCTTGTCTTTCCTACTATTTGTGAATAACTTTGTTAGTAAACTTGCTGCATTTTACTCATTAATCCTTATGGTAATTGTGCAGGATGTTGTTTAAAGGGCATGGCATTTCTTTTCATAATTAAGTGTTGAACAAACCTTTGTCAAATAGTTGGGAGTATTGAAAGGAAGTGATGTGATTAAAGGGATAAGCAGAGCAAGTATTAGCTGCCGGTGCAGAAAGGCTTATGGTGTTCTCCATATACTGCTAAGTCATGAATCTGAATTTACAGCAGGATATGATAATATATGTCTATTAATGTAAATTTTAAGGTGTAAAGTTAAAGCAAAGCATCCCGAGCATAGTATTGTAACAAAACTGAAGCATGTTGATAACAAAAGGAAATAGGGGTCTCAGTAAAGTTTGATTGTAGTTTCTATAACGTGATTCTCTTTCACTATGCAACTGGACTTTTTGTACTACAACTGTCTCCCATTTGTTTAATTTTTAAATATCACAGAGTAATGATGTTAATGAAACATCATCATTATTTTGTTGTTACATGGAAATTCTGAAACTTACCAGAACTTCTTACCATCTCTAAAGATTGTCCACAAGGTGAACAACAAAGCTGTGTCTCTGTCATCAGGACAGACACCAGGATACTAAATACTGAGAGCCTTCAATGAATCAAAGCTTAATAGCAGTGTGTAGACTTTCCTTTTTTTTAAAGAAAGGGGTTTTTTTCTGTTATGAATGACCATTGTTTTTAGAGCATCAGCAGTCAGAGTGAGCTTTCACAAACATTAGTTTTAACTTAAAAGGCAACTTTTAAATAAACTGTTTTGGGAAAACATGAACAGACTTTCAGACTTTTAAATCATACATAATTTTCAAAGCAGATATATCTATTAAATAACTTCCCTTACACTCTTCTCTCTTTGACGTTTGATCTGGTTCTTCCATAGATCCCCTTTTTTTGTCAACTTATAAAGGTCATCTCTGTGTGTTTTGTCTTCTATTTGTCTTAACTTCCTTTGGATTCTTCCTACTGTTTTCACATACTGAGAGAAAATAATACCTTGTCCTGATATTTCCTGTTCCATTCTAGCATTTTATGCACTTCAATTAAACACTGTCTTAACTAAATCATGATGGATAAATTTTTGTATGGTACTGGCTGCTGTTGTACTTCCATCAGCCTGCCCAGTGTTAGCTCTTCAACAACTTTCCTGATTTTGTTTATGGATGAACATTGATACATTCACTTTAATTCCTATTCTGCAAGCTTCTGTAGAGGTTTTTATTACCTGAAATGTTTCACTTCGACACTTTTGCAATGTGGTCTGTCTGCTGCTGAAGATGAATTAGTTCAGACTATTTCTTGGGTGATTTGATTTGTCAAAATGACTCTGTCTTGCTAATCTGGCGGTGCAGCCTGGTGGCTCCTAACTCAGTCAGCCAATGAATTGTTATGACTCTGAATTTTGGAGGCTAATCCAGAAAACCAATGGAGATTGTTTCCCAAAACCTTTAGATTCTGAAATCACATAACTAAACCTATGGGTATTTAATTACTGTTTTTCATAGCAAAATTAAAGCTATTTTTTCTCTGTTTATTTGTGTCTGAGCTTGTGGTCCCTGTGTGAAAGGGATAACTCTCCACCAGCTAGCTGCATTCTGTCCTTTTCCATTTGACTCCGTGGAAGACAGTGGGAGGGATGCCTCTCGGAACAGATTAGTAAAAGAAAGCTAACAGTTAATTTCTGCATTACTTGGACAGCTTGTTCACCGCATTTCTGGTTTTGTGATTGTGGGGGGAATCCTCTAACTTTCTATTGAACTTCTTGTGTGATAGTCTAGCTGCTCTTAAACTCAAAAATTTACCAGATTGGTTTAAAATTAGTGTCTTAACAGTAATACATTTTTGACTTCACTTGCCTTCTGGCCTTTTAATCTGTAAAACTCATATTGTTGCAGTCATCTGTGGAAACACAGGTCAAATGTTTGCTTTTATTAATCTGTCCTTTAATTTTGAAAAATAGGGTTCCTGCGGTTGCAGGATTCCAGGATGCAGTGCTTCGAGGCAGGCACAAATGCCTGAGTTCAAATAGTAACACAGGAGTCAGGACCAGGTGCAGTGCGGGCAGGGCAGCTGGCAGGGAAGGCTGCTGGGATAGGAGGAATTCCTCGTGGGAGAAGCAGTTGGGAGGGAAAGCAGGGGCTGTTGTTCCCTGCTGCAGATTAGTGAAGCTTTCCCCCCAGATGATTCAATTACTGGGTATTGTAGCTTAGAAAGTACTGGAAAAAAATTACTTTAAAACAAAGTAGTTTTTCACTTCCTACGCTGAAATATAGATAAAGCGAGCGTTTCAAGTAGTGAGTTTGAAAAGGGAGTGTGGGGATTGGAATCCCTCCTCATACCAGCTCACTCAAAGGAGCAAATACCTACACTGTATTGTCAAAGTTGGATTTAATAACTCCCAATAACTAGAAGAACTAAAAGGAAGAAGGGAAGGTTCTTCAAATCCCTCCTTGCAGAGGGTTTTGAAGTACAGTTGCTAGTGTGTCTCAGAGTAGAGAGCATGTTCTCCTGATTCCCTGATGGTGCCCGACTGCTCGCGCTACCCTTTTGCTCTTCCTTTCTGCTGCTTCGTGTTGCCTTTGTTTACTTCATGAACACTCAGCAATAATTCCCCTAATGTTTACACATGACAATCTTAAAGGGAAGGGTTGGGAAGAAGCATTTTGGATTATCAAATGGTTTGCGTGCACTTTCAGAAATCTTTTAAAAAATGAAATGCCATACATTAAGTTGAACTTCAGAAGTTATATATGCAGCTTAAGAGAATAAACTAAATAGAAGTTGGTAAAATAGTTTATGAAAGGAAAACAATAAAAGTACTTTCGGTTTCAGTACTTGCCTGGTGAAAAAAAAAAAAGGAGGTGTTATTGTGATATTTTTAGGTTTCTTTGAACATATAAATATGTTTTGGTTAATCTTACTGGCCTGGAAACAAAATTCTGAATAGGCGTTTAGAAACTGTTAGCCTCACAATAAGCCCTTGTCCACTGCAGGCATGATTTCTTTCTACGTCTTGTATATATGTCTTCATCTACTTTTTTTAAACGATCTCATAAACTGCAATTCAAAATATTTTAACATACGATGACTTTTTTCTGTCTGTTTCAATGGGAGAGAAGTAAAAAGTCTCAAATATAGAGACATTTGCATTAAAAAAACAC